CAAGACCGCCTTGTATTCCTGCCCAGCCACTGGCTCTGCACGGCTGTGAAGTGAGAGATGGTCAAGCCGTTCATCGTCTTCACCACCACCACGCAAAGCGTTGAAGCGCTTCCTGCGGACAAGTCTCAAACTCTTGTAAGCCAGCGAGCTTGTGTGCAGGGCATCTCACAATGGTGGACATCAATCCTATGAACCCGACACCGGACGTCGAGATTCAAAGACGAGAGTCGCGCGAGAGCTACAAGGATCTAGATCGAAAGAATGACAGGCATTTGGCATCGCAAGAGCCACAGGTGGTGACAGTCGAAGAGCAGCGAGATCTGAAGCGACATCTTTCTCAAAGACACATCTCCATGATCGCGCTGGCTGGAGCGCTAGGCACGGGCTTGTTCATAGGGTTAGGATCTTCCATCCAGACCGGTGGACCACTAGGAGCTCTACTCGGATACTCGACGATCGGCCTATTAGTCTGCGCCGTCCAGTTCGCGCTAGGAGAGACTGCAGCTCTATTTCCGCTGACTGGAGGCTTTGTCAGACATGCGGACCTCATCACCGATCCTGCTTTGGGTTTCGCTGTGGGCTGGAACCTCGTCTACGGCAATCTGCTCGCCATCCCTTCGGAAATCACTGCTATATGCGTGCTCTTTCAGCTCTGGACGGATGTATCGCCAGCCGTCTTTATCGTCATCTTTATCGTCCTCACCGTCGCTGTAGGCATGGTCAACGTCAGAGTGTTCGGAGAGGTCGAGTTCGGCTTTGCAATGCTCAAGGTGCGCTCAAGTGCTCTCATCGTGGACAAGACAGTGTTGGCCGCGCTCATCTTTGAAATGCCGCTCTATGTTGACAGATACTTTTAGTCATCTTTCTCATCATTTTTGGACTGGTCGTCAATCTTGGTGGCGTACCAGGCACGGAGCGAATCGGCTTCCGGTATTGGAAGAATCCGGGCCCTTTTGTGGAGTACGTGGCTGCAGGAGCCTGGGGACGTTTCCTGGGCTACTGGAGCTGCATGGGAGCAGCGGTCTTTTCTTTCGCAGGTACGGAATCCATCGCGATGGCAGCGGCCGAGACGCGCAATCCGTCTCGAGCACTGCCTCGAGCCTGTAAGAGGGTATTCGCTAGAGTCTTGCTCTTTTACGTCTTGGCTGTGCTCGTCGTTGGTATGCTCACTGCTAGCAATGATGAAAGATTGGGAAACGATTCTGGAACGGCTGCTCAGAGTCCGTTCGTCATTGCAGCTTCAGCAGCGGGCTATCCTGCTGTTGGCTCATTTGTCAACGCCATCGTCATCACTTCGGCGTGGTCTTCTTCAAATCAAGCTCTTCTGGCAGGTACGAGGGTGCTGTACGGTCTAGCACTCAAAGGTCAAGCACCGAGAATCTTTCTGCGGACAACATCTTGGGGCACACCTTACGTCTGTGTAGCTCTATTCGCATCATTCATGTTCTTGGCCTTTTTGAGCCTCTCTTCTAGCGCTTTAACAGTCTTTTATTGGTTGCTGGACCTTGTGGCTGCGGGAGTCTTGGTCTCTTGGATCACCATTCTGACCAATCATGTGCGTCTACGTCTTGCGCTCAAAAAGCAAGATGTGGATCGCACAGAGCTGCCGTGGTCAAACAGATGGACTCGTGAGTATGCTGCTGGCTTCTTCCGTGCTCTGATTGATCAGGCGATTTCACCTCGGTCCTTCCTTCGCCTTGCGGCCCCCCCATCCTCCGCCTTTTCACAGTGCACTCCTCCATTGCTGGATTGGTATTTGCAGTCATCGTGCTCTTGACAAACGGCTGGAAGGTCTTCACGAAGGGCCATTGGTCACCTAGCGACTTTGTCTCGGCCTATTTGTGAGTTTACCCGAACCTTTCCTTTTTTTTTCTTTTTGCGACCCTCCATTCTGAGCTGCTCCCATCCAACATCTTGCTACGTAGAGACATTCCTCTCGTACTCACCGCCTTTGCCCTGTGGAAATTTTTGAAGCGCACCCGCCACGTAAAGCTAGAGGAGATTCCGATCCTCGAAGCGCTCAACGAGATTCAAGAATTCAACGGGGATGACGATGACGTGGCTAGAGGTTGGAAACGCGCCATCAGCTGGTTGTGGGAGTGAAAAGTCAAGTTCGACTTTCAGGCAAAAGTCACGCGCAACACCTTTCTTTATTGTGTAATCGTATAGGTCCTTGTCACCACGCATTCATGAACTGGGTCCAGCAAGTCACGTCAAATGAGCCCTGCCAATCGATTCGAACGTGATGTCAATCAGGAGGGGCGGGAAGG